CAAAATGGTAAATCAAGGGTAATTGGTTATGTAGGACGGTCACTTAATCCAACAGAGCAATCTTATGGTATTACTGAAAAGGAGTGTCTTGCACTTGTGTTTGCAGTTAAGAAATTAGACCCATATCTCAGATTTAACCCGTTTACTGCCTATGTTGATCACGCAGCTTTGCAATGGTTATTTTCGTTGAAACAGCCTGTCGGCAAATTTTCCAGGTGGGTCATGATGCTGCAAGCCCATAACATGACCATCGTACATAGAGCAGGGAAATCCCATTCTAACGCAGACGCAGTTACGCCGATCTTACCCAGACGCTATGTCGTCGCAAGAAATGGATGGTGATGACTGTTTCCCTCTTATTGGTCCAGACTTTGAATGGTTGGCTGAGAATTTATCATAACTCGACTTAGCAGTTATTAAAACCCAACATCACCAACAAATACCTGAAACGCAAATACAGCAAGCAAAAAATGTTTTTGCAAACTTAGCCGAATCTCTCACTTCAACTGTTGACACTTTGGCTTTCGTCGGAGCAAGACGTGTTCACTTGTAGCTCTCTAGCCTGGTACGCAAGTACAGTAATCATCATGTATGCCTTATTATTGATATACTTTTGTATTGCATCTAACTGTACGAGGCAGTTGGATTATGAAGGGCCCGTACATCATTTACGTTTTGCATTTATCGGCAATACAAAATGTTTTTTTGAGTTGTTTGAGCTGAATCTGACCAGGCCCTCCCTGGTATATCTTAACCAACCCAGGCAAAGGGATAGTCGGCCGGGACTACTACCGATTCAAATTAGGCCTAGATTTCTGCGACGAAACACTCATCATGGACATTTCTCAGCACCGTATTTGAGGTACAAAAATTCAACTTCTACCTTTCAAACGTTTTTTGTTTTGGATTCATTTAATAAACTGTATCTATGCGGGAATATCGAACAAAATCCAGGACCGCAAAATGGCGAAGATGAAGGTGGTATGCGGAACGGTTACATAACCAACCATTCCGTGAATAAATTATCTAGAGCTGTTAAATGTATTAATCTTAACGCACACAGTATTGTTAATAAGTCTTTACGACTACAGTCATTGCTCGTATCCGAGTCGATTGACGTCGTGTTTATGACCGAGTCATGGCTAGACGGCCACATACAATCTTCTGAAATATTTCCCAAAGAATTTGTAGTCTTTCGAAATGATCGAAATCGTCACGGAGGTGGCGTTATCCTTGCTGTTCATGAAGATCTTCGTGCGACTCCCTGTCAAAGTTATACCTGTGCCGGAATTGAGATTGTTTGGTGTACAATAACAACCAACAACAGGAAAATACTAACAGGTACGCTATATAGACCTCCAAATAGCAAAGTTGGCTTTTTTGAAAAGCTTCAGGAATGCATTGAACAGGTTTTGGTGGACTCGCATCTATACAGTCTAATAATTATTGCTGGTGACCTAAACTTTAATTTTAAATCTACGGGTCTAATCTCCTCGGAACAACGCAACATGCAAAACTCTGTTGATGTATTCCTATTTTTATTGAAAAATTTTCGAATATTGAGTGGTACTATGATTCCGAAGATGTAAATACGTTATGGTCAAATTTTAAATCCGTTTTTATTGCCGCTATTAATGAAGTTGTGCCCTTAAGGCAAGCTAAGCGACGCCCTAAAAAGCCATGGATTACAAACGAAATTCTTCGTTTAATAAGAAAAAAGAATAGATTTTATAAAGCTGCTATTAAATCTGTAAATAATGATATTAAGTGGGATAGGTACTGTCTCTTATACACATCTAGATGTGTATAAGAGACAGGTATGTATGTATACATATATACATATA